CACCTCCCGAAGCAAAGTGGGTTTTTAACGGAGATGTTTTATGCAAGGTAGAATATGTCTCCTTGATGCATGAGAGTATCTGTCTCACTAATGCAGGCTCTGAGACCAGGAGTCCAACAGTAATTTGTTCAAATGAAATAAAGCCTATTAGTTTGCCAGTATTCACCTGCTTTGTTGTTTAACACCAGCCAGGTGATATAATCTGTCCTTTTCTTGCATACAGGGATGTTTCTGAGCAGCCAATCAAAGAGAGCACAAAGGGCCCTGACTGCTCAGGAATAATGAGGCTGCTGCCTGCGTTTAATTATACCAGTGCTAGAGGAGAGTAATGATAACAAGAAAAGATATCCTCTTTGAAAAGGTGCTCCAAAGGATTTAGAAACATGTATCTTTAAAGCAGAAGTTACATGAGTCAGAAGGAGATGTATGAACAGGAGTCTGGAATGCTTGGACTCGGGACACAGCTTTATTTTTCCCTTAGAGAAAACCATTTCCTGGACGAGGCACATGGAAGGTTAATGCTAGTAATTTCACCTGTCCGAAGAGGAGGCAGAAAATGCTGTGCACTCACAGGCAACCGCACTGAGCCCCTTTCCCACGGAGGAGGGTTATATCTTCTTAGCTGTCCCCACTGCCATTCTACAAAGGAGAATCAGTGCTCAAATTTATACTCATTCCACACTATTAGTATTTTAAACATGTTTAGCTTAGGACAAAACAAACACATAATTATGAGCTGCAAGTTACTATTAGTAGCTATCTTTGAAATGGCTTGAATTTCCGCCAAAGGGAAAATGGTTTGGGGAAACAAAATGCTTGGAAATGTTTTTCATCGGAGCACGGAAGTGTCAGCTGAAAGTTGCTCAGTTGGACCTTTTCATTTTTAAATATAAGGAACATGAAACCCCTTTCTCATTTTTAAAGCTAAAGCAACTTAACCAAGGTCACATTATGTAACTAGTGCAATGATTTTTTGGATGCAAGGAACAGAAAATCTGACTGACTGCAAATCGGTCTACACACCAGTCCCGTTTATCTTACTAACAGGAAGGACAGAGATATGGGCAGCGTATTAGTTTTATGGGGCTTTCAGAAGAAAACGCTACAACCTGGGTGTTTTATTTGTTTGTTTTGTTCTTTGAGACAGGATCTCACTATAGTTGAGACTTATGGGGCTTTCAGAAGAAAACGCTACAACCTGGGTGTTTTATTTGTTTGTTTTGTTCTTTGAGACAGGATCTCACTATGTAGTTGAGACTGACCTGGAACTCACTATGTAGTCCAGGCTGGACTCAACTCACAGCGATCCTCCTGCCTCAGCCTCCCGAGTGCTGGGATTACAGGCGTACGCCACCACGCCCTGTTCAACCTGGGTGTTTTAAACAACAACGTTTTATTTGCTTGAAGTTCTGGAAGCCAGAAGCCCAAGGTCAAGGCCCAGCAGAGTTGGCTGCCATGGGCTCCTCTCTCCTTTGGCTCATGGACTGCTGCCTTCTCACCACGTCCTTGCTATGCAAACATCCCAAGTACCTCTTCCTCTCCTATGGGGACACAGGTCCTTTTGTTCTGGGGCCTCACCCCTCACCTCATTTGACTTAATCATCTCTTTAAGGGACTTATATCTAAATTCAATCACATTGGGAGAGATTTGGTTAGGGTTCTCTAAGGAACAGAGTCAATATTTTCCAATATATATATAACATATATATATGTACGTATAAAAATTATGCAAGGGTACTTATTAGACAGATGTACAGGATAAAAAAGGCAGAGTGTGCAGGATGGTGAGCTGGAGCGTGCAGCAGCTGCCCAGTCCGGGATGCTGCGGAACAACAGGGACCAAAGATGCAGTGCTGGCACCAACGAGACAGAGGCCTGAAAGTTCCTTGGAGAGTCACAGATGCGAGTCCACACTGACAGGATCAAGGAGCTGGAGCCCGCGGTCCACCTTGATGGCAGCAGGAACGTATGCACTTGGTCAAGTGGAACGGAGCTGCATAAATGCAGGCCAGCTTCCTCCTTCCTCCCCTTCCACTCCTTCTGGGCTCAAGCAAACCGGCAGGGGCCATCCCCGCTTCTGAGAGTCTGTCCCCTGTCGCTGGCCTGGGTGCTGATCGTCTCAGAAAACACAAGACATCTGGAAGTGCGCTGTGGCAGTCGCTAGGCATCTCTTCAACTAGCCAAGTCGATATTCGGGTCTGTCACAGGAGTTAGAGTTGGGGAAACAATTCATTCCGTGATACCGAGCTGTCACCTTCCCTGCATGAGTGCTCAGGGGTGTCATTAGGGCTCCCCATCTTTGCGTGTTGCACGCATTCTCAATGCTGGATTCAAAATGAACTTTTCATAGAGCTTTCCAAGTTCTACGCTGAGATACAACTTCTTCAGGGGAAGAAGAAAGACCATCCTTGTTTGCAAGTCTCTCCTTGCAATAAGAAAATTGTCCCCAGACTTCCCTTCACGGGGCTGCTGTTCTCCATGGAACGCCTACCTTCCGGCTACTCGGGCTCCGCCCTGAGTCTTGGCATTGGGGGGCAGCTTCTGGCAAGTACACGGCTGTGAGGGGAGGAGCTAACACAGGACAAGTGGGGTTCCGCTAAGGTGAGAACGGGAATGGACGCTGGGTGGGCACCTGGCAGTGCCCACGCCTTATAATGAGGAGGACACAAACAGGATAGAAAGCAGATTTCCTCCGATTCTATTGACATTCAGTTCCTCCCAAATTACTCTTGTTAATAGTGTGAAAACAATGTCCATCTCTTCTGGAAATCTTCTCACTTCTAGCTGATAAAAACAAGACAGTGGTGTTTTGCTAATTAGGAAATTAAGATATATGGATGTTTTGAGACATTCTGGCAAAAATCACTAAAGTTGAAGTGTTATTGAAAAATTTTTAAATTTCCATAAATCGTATCTTCCAGGTGTTGGTTTTTTTAAAAACAGATTTTATTTCCATTTTTATCCTTTTTATTTCCCACAATCTGCTGTGACATTATTCATACTGTTAGTTTTCCAGACTTCCTTATTTCAGGTAAAAAAAAGTCTTGTTTAAAAGTGACCCACTTTATTAAATATAGCTTTAATAGTTTTGATTGAATAAGTACATCATCTTCACAGGTAAGGCCTTTAAATTTTTCTTCATATGTTTGAAACCAGGGTGGCATTTTTATTTTTACTTTATTATTTTAAAATTTTATTTGGCATATAGAGGGATGGCATTTTTAATTGGCAAGGTACATTTAATAAGATTCTTTTCTTTGAAAGTTATCACTACAGTTTTGCATCGTGCAATCACCAGCATCCGGAAATGAAGAGATGTATGCTCATTAAATAAAACATGGTAGAAACATTTATGTTTCAGGGCCTGAGGTTTAGCTCAGTGGTGCCGCCAACTGCTTCGCAAGCACAAGGACTTGAGTTCGATCCCCCATACCAAAAAACAAAAAAACAAAACAAACAAACAAAAAACTTCAGCCTGAAACATTTATGCTTCCATTTCCCCATATTTGTGTGTATGTTTTGGGTGTATTTTTAAAAATTGGTATAAATGAGCTTAATTTTTATTTCACTTAACATTATAACACAAGCACTACCCATACTATTGAGTGATCTTCAGAATATTTCTAACGCTTCTATAATTAATATTCCCTCTATTATTCCATGTACTATGAATTATGTAGTTGATTTACTAAGTCCTTTTTTATAAAAAATCTACACTGTTTTCATCATTTGAAATCATAAGCAGCACTGTTTAGACTAGAATTATAAGCACCTCTGGCTAAAATCTTTTTCCTGTTTTATCTTGGTTTCTTAGAATAGATTTCAAGAAATCAAATTATTACATCTCATAGAAAGGTAACCTGATAAAAATTCTTAACATAATACCAGCCAATATTCCAAAAGTATAATATCAGGTTTCACTATTCATTCATATATTTGGACTTCGACAGTAAATGTGAAAAAACATTTTTTTAATTGTGATTAGCTGAATAATGACCCTAGAGAAAACTGTACACGTCCTAGTCCTGGGAACTTGTGACTCTTATTTTATATAACATAAAAGCCCATAGACACATCTAAGTCAAAGAGCCTGGGATGGGGAGATGGTCTTGCAGTATCCAGGTGGATCCTAAGAGGAATCACGGCAGTCCCTGCAGGAGGAGGCAGAGGAGACCTGAGGACAGAGGAGGGCAAGACAGGGATGGGGGGAGGAAAGGGTCCTAAGGCAAGGAATGCACATAGACCCTGGAGCGAAAAAAAAAAGGCCAGGAAATGGACTGACCCCTACTGAAGCCAGAAAAGATAGCGCTGCTCACATTTTGACTCGCCCATTGAAATTGATTTTGGGCATCTAGCTTCCAGAGGTGTAAAAGAATCAATCTGTGTTGTTTTAAGCCACCACATTTGTATTGTCTTGCTACTGAAGCCAAAAGAAATAAGTATACAAACAAAAAATTTAAATATTCATGGATTTGTCTGTGAAACTATATATTTTCCACATATTTGGTCCATATTTTAATTCCTTAATGTATTTCCTTAATCACATGTATAAATTTGTATCAGCTATATTAAGGCATAATTAATTTATAATAAACTGCACATACTTCTTGGGCATGGTGGCACTCGTCTGTAATCCCAGCACTTGGGAGACTGAGGCAGGAGGATCGCTGTGAGTTCAAGACCAATCTGGGCTACAAAGTGAGTTCCAGGGAAGTCTGAACAGCATAGTGAGACCCTGTCGCCAAAAAAAAAAAACCTGCACATACTTAAGTATGCCATCTTACATTTTCACAAATGCATGCTCTGTGAAACTAGCAATCTGATCTAGATAATTTTTTCCATCACTTGAAAAGTTTCCATGTGCCTTTTAATAACCCTACTCCTTCATGGCCTTCTTAAATCCTTTTTCCCCATTAGTGACCACTGGTTTTATTTCTGTCACTATAGATTAGTTTACATTTTCTTAGAGTTTAATATAACCAGATTAATGGAGTGATTACCTTTGAAGGGGTCTGACAGAAGTATATGTCAATTCATCCTGTTGTTTTGCAGATAAATAAATAGCTCTTGCCACTTTATTGCTTAGTCCACCACTGAATGGCTGTCCCACAGTTTGTTTATCTGTTCACCTGCTGGTAGATATTTGAGTCACTTAGTGTTATGTTTTAGATCCAAAATGTTCCTAAAAATTCTCACATTTGGAGATGGGGCCCGACTAGAAGAGGTGGTGTGACACTGAAGGTACATTGTCATTCCCAGCTCCTTTCTTCTGATTCAGCTTCTGGGTGCCATGCTGTGAATGGCTTTCCACTGCCATACCATTTCTGCTTTGAAGATGGCTAGCCATGGACTGAACCCACGGAAACTGTGAGCCACAAATAAACCTTTTTTTCTTTAAACTGTGAGAATTTGATACATAAGGTGACTAATATACCTAGCACTATAAACAAAGCTGCTATGAATACCCATGTATCATTTTAAGAAATTGTCAACTTGTTTGCCAAGTTATTGGCCATTTAACATCCTCATGAGCAATGTGTAAGTTCCAGGTTCTCCACAATACTTGGAATGATCAGTCTTAATTTTAGCCATTCTAAATGGTGTACAGTCACATCTCATTATTTTTCACTTTACCTTTTCCTAGTAACTAATGATACTGAACAATTTTTCATGTGCTTTTCAGCAGTGTATTTCCTTTGATGAAGTATCTTTTACTATTGTTTTGAGTGCTCTTTGTATATTCTAGATATAATCTTTTATCAGACATATTTGCAATTTTTTCCCAGCCTAAGCTTGTCCTTTCATTCTCCAAGCACCGTATTTCAAAGAGCAGATTTTAAATTTTGATGTGGTCCAAATTTTAAATTTGTTCTTTCCTGAATCATGTGTTTGGTATTGTACCTAAGAAATCATTGCCAAACCAAGGGCACAACAATTTGCTTTTGTGTTTCTTACACCTTTATATTTGCATGTTTATATTTAGGCCTATTCCATATTGAGCCAAGTTTTACACATGGCGTGAGGTATGGACTGAAGTATAGATTTTAAAAATGTAGATATCCAATTGCTCCAGTAACATTTGTTGGAATTACTATCCTTTCTCCACGAATTGATGCTGTACTTTTGTCAGTCATTCGTGTTCTGTTTATATTTGTCTTTATTTCATGACTTTCTACTCCATTCAGATGTTCTATTTGTCTATCTTGACATGACACTGCATTATTTTGATTACAGTACGCTTTTAACAAATCTTGAAATCAGGTAGACTTAGTCCTGGAACTTAGTTCTTTTTCAAAGTATTTTCTGTTTGAGGGCCATTTGAGTTTTAGAATCAACTATCACTTTCTATAGAAAAGTGCCAAGGACAACTGTGGATGGGGCAAGTGTCCTGTGGAAAGCACTCTGTAGGAAACTGCACAAGAAGGTTGCTGGGGAAGCTGCTGGCTACTGCATCTGACCATTGTGTATTGATGAAACCGTATTCTTGAGGAATATCTCAGCTGCAGGAGTCAGGAGCTGGAAAATCCATGTCCACTTCAAGAGTCTCAGATTGGAGAAACCTCTATTGGAGTCTAGAGAGGAATGCATCAAAACTCAGAGGAAGGCTTTTTCTTTTTACAGGGTCCTCTCTTGATAAAAAGTTAACACTTGGCTGATAGGTAAACAAAAATATTAAAGAACCCAGCTACATTTTCATAGAGCAGCCAAAAAGTGTGAATTTGGAGCTGATGGAGTAAGCTGAGAACTAGCACAGGATTTTTAAAATAAAATTATCATATGTGCACACAGGTGACTTCAGTTATTTCCATAGCACAGTGGAAATTCTGTTAAAATCCTATCATTTTGGATCATTTTAAGGGCAGAGATTTGTTTCCTAATTTACAAATCCCAAGGTTTACTAGAAGTTTCCATTGCCTATTCTGATTACATGCTTTTAAGTACAGTGATACCCACTATACAACTCAACTGATTCCAAATTCATGTTCAAACAGCAAAAACTTTGAAAATGGAACACATTTTTCCCATAAGAAATAATGATCGATCCAAATAATTGGTTCTGAGGCCCCAAAACTACACATATAAATTCATTTTTCTGGGATCTTAATAAATTTACAATTATTTATTTAATTTTATTTTGGTTCTCACAGTTTTCCTCTTAGTTTTACTGCCAGAATTGCTAAATTTCTTTGGAGCCACGGCTACGATATTTTATGCAAATAAAGCGCAAAAATAAAAAACACAAAGATGGATGCTTGAACACATTAACACAAGCATTATATATTTTCTGGGCACCAGTGACACTTGGACTGCAGTGTCATCACTTTGTGTCCACGACAGACAACAACGCAAGACCCACTCTTAGCCCCATACAGGTGTTTTCAAGTCGAATTTTTGGTTCAACTATCAAACAAAGTTACAAACACTAAGCAAAATTTTTTTTTTTTTAGCTTTGTTGTTCAGTAGTGGAAAGTTTAAGCACTATACTACAGAACAACAATTTGAGTAGGCATTGTAGCTTAGTGGTTGAGAAGACTCTGGAGCAGAGGACTTAAGACTGAATGTGATTCTGCTATTTATTGGCTAATGCAGTGGTTCACTACGAAAATTAAATAACACAAGTATCTCCTTCCCTTAACAGAAGTAACCCATTTCTGAAAGTCAGATTTCTGTGAATAAAATTCTGGAGTCTATTTTATATTAATTTGAAGAAGAACAATTTAAATGAATAACACATTAAATCTCTCTCTCTCTCTCTCTCTCTCTCTCTGGCAATTTCTTAAGCTGCAACTAAACACATCACAACTCTTATACATGAACTATTAGGACGTGAAATGACCAAAATACCACTTTCTGATCACCAAATACTATGCACATATTGATTCAGGATCACAGTGTTTCATATAGGAACATATTTTCCACTGTACCACTGAAATGTTTTCTCTCCTTCTTTGCTTCCTTCTCCATATTTTTTTCAATGCTTTGTCAAGTTTGTTTGGATCTCATTATATAATGCCAGGCAAATACAAGAAAGCAGTAAATAGGTTCAGGACCAGCACACTGAAAACACCACACTGAGCAGAATGGTGAGAGCCTCTGGATATCTGCCTTCTCCTAGGGACACCACCAGAGGCACCTCTTTTGTTGACCATCAGTGCACTTTTCCATTTGAACTTTCACCAATTGTATCTAGAACGTATTTTTTCCTGCACTTTTTGTTTTTAACATGTATTTGTAGGATATAAATATATGCTTATATCTATACACACATCAAACAATATACAGTCTGTCAAAATTAAGATTTTTTTTTTTTACTCCTTTCTTTCTAAGGAATTTTAGGTGTTAAAAACGAAGAATCACTACTAAGTTCAGGGAAAGCCATTTGAACATGCTTGGCCTACAAGCTTGGCTTTGCTTTCTCGTCTGATTCACTAACCATGTTACATTGTCTTTCACATATTCATTCCAACATATCTTTCCAGCTATTTCTATAGATCAAGTTCCATGACTACCCTTAAGGTACAATATGAAATGGGATATAATCCTTTACTTCAGGAAGCCAACATTTTAGGGGAAGCAAGGTTCACGAGATCCCACCTTTTTGGCTAGGCCGCCGGAAGCGCCGTTGCCTGAGAGCATTTCCTGCTGCTCAGCTGTGCACTGCAGTAGAGCCCCGTAGGAAACAAACCACGAGAGAGGAAAGCGGCCGGTCTGGGACAGCGAGCCACAGCTAGCCCGAAATGGCTGAGACTGTCCTTTAAATGATTTTTACCTTGGAACCGACTTCACGCCGCGACCCTTGGGAATTCAGACGTCTCTTCTCCATCCACTGACTGAAAATCGCTCAGCGGAACCTTGTATCTCCGGAACTCGATGCGGAAGCTCCTTTCGTTGCTCTCCGTACAACTCTTGATGATCACTTCCGGCTAGGCAAGATGGCTGCGGCCATGCAAGATTCACGTGTACGTGCGGGGAAAAAGCTGAAGAAGTCCCTGAAAAAGAAGAAGATGAAAATGGTATCCGGAGCTGCGGCCTCAGAGCTGGACGATGAGGTCAAAGAGGCTTCGGACGGCGGAGGTAACGTACCAGGGTTGTGCTGTGGGAAGAGCTCGCGGGAGCGGAGCTGTGAGCGCGTTTGCTTCTGGGGGCTCGACGGGGCTGGGACAGCGACCGCGTCTCTGGGCGCCGTGTTCACAGAAAGCCGGCTGTCATCTGAAACGTTGTTTCCAGAGCCTCGTGCAGTATGTGTAGGGTCTCCGTTATTCATTAAAGTGAGAGGTACTGCTGTTACCGAGAAATTAGTAAAGAGTGAAAGTAAGGAACGTTTTCTCTCCCCTTTGGAATTACAGGAGTAGCATAGGTCTCAGGGCGCGAGAAGCAGAAGGCCAAAAGCGGAAAGAGGGAGAAAGGTGGCACTTGTACTCTACTGTTCTTTGTTAGGTGAATGCGAGAGTTTGCAGATTAGGACCTTTATTCGTGATTGAAAGAAAAATGGATGGTAAAAGCAGGATGAGTAAGTGGCATTCGATAAGTCTTTCCTAGACACACTTGATAATAATAAGTTTTACATTTTGAGTCCTTCAGCCATGATGTACGTGCTTCTTCCCCAGCTAATTTACATCGGCTTTTTAGGTTATAAGGAATGACAGACGATCCCTGACTTCCCACTAACAGTTGCTTCACTCTGTGCTAGCTGCTTCTCACAAAACTAACAGACCTAACCCCTCCTCTTGCCCCCGTCCCAGCGCAGGTACTAAAGATTGAAACTTGGGCCTTCCCAACTGAGCTACCTCCCTGGCTGTTTACTCCCAGGTAGGAACGACTGCATTGTTACTTTTCAGTCCTTGTTATAAATATTGATTAGGTTCTAAGGTTCATTTGCCGTTATGGATCAGTTACATCATGAGTCAAGAAGGCTTCCAGCTTATGGAAACCTGTTTCTCAAGTTTAGTTCAGTGAACATTGTGTCTTTTTGTTACAATGACTTATAAGTGTTTTGTGACACAAAGGATGAATAAATTCCTCCCTTACAATTACAGTTTCAGGAAGGACAGATTGGAGGACCATACTACAATTTTCTTGAGTATTATTAAAAGTTAGTTGTTTGGCATGGTGACACATGCCTGTAATCCCGGCATTCTGGGAGGCAGTGGCAGGAGGATGACAAGTTTAAGTGTAAACTGGACAAATTAGTGAGACCCTGTCTTAAAGTAAAAAGAAAGGGCCTGAGGATCTAGCTCAGTGGCACAGTGCCTGCCTCACAAGTGCAAAGTCCTAAAGAAAAGAAAGGCTTGGTTTGTAGTGCATTGTGAAGACCTTGGATTCAATCCCCAGTACTAGAAAACAAAATAAAACAAGAAAAGTAGTTGTCAAGATCTTGGTCCAATTTAGAAATGGTGGGGATAGAGCAGAAATCTGTATTACGTGGAACCCAGCCTTGGCATCACTTTCTTCTCTCTTACATATGCCACTTACAGTTTAACACGTCTCTTTCTGTACACATGCATTTTCTAAATGTTGTTTCACTGTCTTATTTAATCTTTATTTTCACATGATTTTCCTTGCACATTTTGGTATTTCAGTAAATTTTCTTTTTGAATAAATGAGTAGTGCAGTGTTCCCTCCAAGCTTTAAAGGATGAATAGTTTTCTAGGCCTGGGGATGGAGAGAGCAATTTTGTCAGACCTAAAGAAAAGCACATGGAGTGGACTGCAGTCTCTTAAAGTCCAGCGTCATGTACTGGACACAGTGAATCATGTGCTGTGGCGCTAGCTCTTCAGGAACCTGACTAGAAGTGAATTTGGAGTAGAGATTAAAGCCAGGTTATAAAGGGTCTCGTGTGTCACATGTAGGAGATCAGATTCTTTGTAAGCAGCAGGGAGCTATTGAGAATTTGTAAGCAAGAGAGTGACAGACATTTGTAAATACTGTTGCTGTCTGTTTAGTCACTACCAGAGAGGGCCTGAACAGTTTGGCAGTTGCAAAATTCCATGTTGGGATCTGTACTAGACACAATAATAAAAACAGAGAAAAACGCCCCACTTGGAATGTTGTTTAAAAGAGCATTCAATTTTATGAACCACCAATTTCACACAGCTCCATAAATTTTGTTCGTACTGTACAGTTAAACAAATTAGATATGTTTTTGAGCTTGACTTTGTATTAGGTTCTGTTCTAAGTTCTTTGTATATTATTTCAATTAATTCTGACAACCCTGTGAGATAGATAATTCATAATTGTATCACCTATAAAATGAGGTTAAGATAAGGCGTACGTACCTTAGGGTCTTTGTGATGATTAAATGAGTTCACATGTGTAAATCATTTACTGTTTGTTATACCGCATTCACGCATGGATATTAGAATGATGATTTCCGTTCTGATCCTACAGAACTGTTGGTGCTGTCTCTATTCCAGCCTTCAATAAGTGTGGGCTTTACTGTAAGCTGGAGCTCTCCAGCAAAGCAGTTTGAATGAGGAAGCCAAAGCATTACTGTTTCAGAAGAGAGAACACACTTGGAAACATGTTTGCATTATGCTGAGATACCTCAGATTATACTGAGGTACCCTGTTGATGGGTGCAGAGTGTTACCTGTTGTTCCTCCCTTCTTCCTCCGTGATCCAGCCGTGTGATCAGACTTTTGTGTAAAAGTCAGGATCAGTGAAAATGATTTTGACATCTATTGACTTTCTTTACTTAGTTGTTTCATAGACGCCTGAAACTCAATATTTATAGAACTGGATTCATAACTTCCCTTCCCAAAGCTCCTATCTGAGAATGGTACCCATCAGCCCTGCCCAGGCTGGAAACACAGGTGTCCTCCCTCACACTCCCCTTTGCATCTATTATCTGCTGATTTAACTCACCCATTTCTTCTCTTGCCGATACCTTAGTTCTTGTCTGCTGTTTTGCTTATGTTAGTACTAACAGGTCTTGTCTGTGCTTCCTGTCTGCGGGTCTGCTCTCTGCATTATGTCATCTGGGCGTAGCTTCTTAAACTATCAAGGAAGAAGGCTTTTTTAAAAATTTCCAAGTTTGTCATGAACAGGTGTTTTAAAAAATCAACTAAAGAAGATGTAAATACCGAATAGTTTCCCTGGTGTAAATAATCTGCAACAATGCATAAGATTCTAATAAGATTACTGACATTTAGAAATGAGAAGAAAGGAGCTAAAGGTGTAGGGAAGGTGGGATGGGTAGGGGAAGAGTAAAAAGGGAAAAGAAAAAAATGTGAGAGAATGAAAAGATGAAAATAAAGTATTTGTAGATGGGCAGGGGAGGAGGGGGTGGAGGGAGGGCAGAGGTAAGGGGAAAAAATGAGAATCAAGACTTGTCATGTAGAGGTACAAGATCCCAACAATGAATGTAACTGTACTGTATCCCTAAAATGTACCAGTAAACTCAATTAAAGCTGAAAAAAAAGAAGATAACCTAGGAGCATGACCACATGCTTGGTCATAATATCAAATTGCCATAGCAGTTTCCAAATGCCTACTCAGGCTGTGAATTTATACATGAATTGCCTGTTTAACGACTTTTCGACTTATGACTGAGATGCCCTACAACCTGTTTTTTTCTCTTTTTTATAGTTCCATACATCTTGTTGATAGAGCTGCAATGTCTTTTTGTTCATACACTTTGTTTATATAATACTGTAATTTTACTGATTATACAGTACAGTGCTGTAGTTTTATGTTCTGTTATGCATTAAAGTACTGTGTGTAAGAGTTATGCAGATAAAAGCAAAGTCGTCAAATTGGAGTTTCCTTTCACCATTTCTTTGTTCTGTATATTGTAGTGTGCATACTATCTACCCTTCCTCATTTAGTGACCAACTCAATGAACAATCTAGTTGCAGGACCGAGACTTGGTCATTAAACAAGGAGTGTCAGTAGCTGATTTTCACTGTTTACAGTAATGATCTATAAAATCATAGCAAACAGAATTAGTAAATACTAAACATTGCTTTTAGAAAAATAAGAGGTTAGGGTCTTAAGAGTCTCTAAACAGAACATTTTTGTCAACTCCTTTCATAGTCATATTTGATGTGTATTTTTAACACCATATACATTGTTGATTCATTGACTTTGAACTCATGACTAACAATTTAAGTTGTGTGTGAACAAAGCTCATCTAATATGCGTGTTTTCTCTGTAAGTTACACCTAACCTTGTGCTTAGGGACACTAGACAGTGCTCTAGCAGTACACTAACAGCCATGTAAAATAGTGAAATTCCTAGTAAAAGCACATGCATGTGAAAAATGTGGTGACGTATAGCCAGGGAAGGAACCTTGTTCACTGTACTGGGCTCAAACGAGGCAGACCGTTACCCGCTCTGGGTGCTTAGACATCCGGGACTCTGGAGTGTCTGTGAGTGTATGGGAAACCCTCTGAGTATCACCAAGTTGGCAAGTTTGCAAAAACAGAATCCACGAATAATGAAGATGCTGTTTCTCCCTATCTGGGAACCAGAAGCAGTTTACACACCTGGCCCCCGTGATCTGACCGCTGCTTCCTTCTCCTCGGGGTCCTGTCATTCCTTAAGTAACCTGTGGTGCAGCCTTCCTGTCTTCTGGTTCCTCCATGTGGTGTGCCGCTGCCTATCCTAACTGTGCTTACACTGTGCCACTCCCTTGTCTTCTGTATCCTTAGGTTCCAATTCGCTGTCTCCTCCATTTTTCCTTTCAGCATCTAGGTGATCTTTGGGACAGAGATAAAAGGGCCCTTTATGTAAGCAATTCAATAATTTAAGTCTTTTGGTTAATGATGTGCACTTTTAGTTTAACTCAGAATTGTTATGTAATATAAAAAAAATAGCTGTTTTCTGCTTGTGAAATCACATATCTCTGGAGAGGGGACCCAGGGAAATAGATTTGTAGTTTAGATAATTGTGTCCATGTGGCCTTGGTAAAAACTGTTGTTAAAAGTTTTCAGGTGATAGTACTAAATAACTGTAAAGGGTGAGGCCTGGTGAGGAATCCTTGAGCAAATTATGGGCATTTTATTAAGGAGTTTTGGCCCGTTTTGTTAGGAAGCTACATCAGAGACATGTTTGAATTTTTAACAGTTATCAAAC